CACAGAATAGCAAAACAGTATACTGCTGAATATAGGTTGTCTACCCTAGTGATCCTATACCTGACTGGGAGCTAGAGCTTACAGCCAGGCATTACAAGGCAGGATATCACATCGGGTAACACAGAAAAGAAAAAAAATAATCGACAACATTCACATTTCCAAGAACAGTTTCTAGTGAAACACCATCATAAAGCTGAAAAGTCCTTAGCTGAAACATATTAAGTAGAAAATTGTCTGTATTTTAAGCAGGGCAAAATAGCATCAATAAAGACAGGAAGTAGGAAAAAGCAACACACATGGCAACTTTTTATGAAATTTTTTTGTCAGAAAGAATAGTAGATAATAAAAGTTGACACTAGTGTTTACATATCACATATGATCTTAGGCAAGTCACTTCCCTACTCTCAATTTCCTTTATCAATGAAATGTAATTAACAATACCCAAGTTACAAAGTTCTAAGAAAAAAATCTACAAGGTGCCTGATATAGTAATGAACATAGAGTAAGTGCTAAGAAATGCAAACTATTATTATTCCTTGAGACTACATCATGAAGCACACCACATGGAAGATTATGAAAATCTCAATTTCATCCTCCAGGCCATAGAGCCTGCAAGATTTGATAATGATGAAGTAAAAGTGATTATCTACTAACAGTGCTCAGGAGAGCTTCAAGTTAGTGGCTAGCCAACAACTAAGGCATAAAGAGTGTTTAACCTAGAATGGTGAGTAAATTGGTGATATCTTTTCAAGGAAGAATTAATTATTGGTGAAAAATGATTGAGAGAAAAAGGACAAAGACAGAGAACATTTAAATGCTGACACAGTAAATTAGCAAAGGGGCTTTGAAATCAGACTAACATGCGTTTAAACCTTGACTTCCACCTACCAGTTTTATGTCCTCAAACAACAAACCCACCCTCCCTAAAACTCATATGTAAAATGAAGTCAATTGTAATTTCCACAGGGCCTAGGTGTTTAGTTTATTGTAATCATTCAATAAATGATGTACTTTTATACGAAGGGTTTCCCACTCAAATGGTGCATCCAACCACTATGTACATGGTTTCCTCAAGTTTCTATGGCCTCTATGCTGGAACATTCTTTCCCTCTTCTTTTGGCCAACTCTTTAATCCCCTTCTGAACAACTTCATCAAACTTTTAAGAGTCAGCTTAATATCTGCAACTAGGAAAGGCTTCCCCTGAGCATTCACTGGTCTCATTACTTCATTAATAGCATGTACTACCAAGCACACCAATATTTGTTTATCCTATCTATCTCTTACCCCATAACAGGTTTTGCAATTTTTGTTAAAGGACAGGGGAAAAGACATAAATTTAGGTAAACTCTCTCTAAATCAGGACACACTTTAAATTATGCAAATTTCAAAAATAAATTTCACAAATTTCTTTGTTTGACAAAGTTTTCCGTCTATACACTACCATTATCACCATTCATTCAACTCAGAAGGCATAAAAATCCCAACTAATGATGCAAACTACTAGAAGTAAAATTCTTGAGGGGACAGAGCTGTTTGACTGCTCTATGTATACATCTAGTTCAGGGCTTGGGAATGAGTAAGTGCCAATAGATATATGTTTACCAATTAGTCATTTGACAAATGGAGCAGTAAGATAAAATGCAATTAATACTGCCAGCATTTATCTATTATTTACTTATTTATTTATACCAGGGATTGAACTCTACCACTGAACTACATCCCCAATCCCTTTTACTTTTTATTTTGAGGCAGGGTCTCCCTAAACTGCTGAAGCTGGCCTCAAATTTTAGATCCTCCCATCTCAGCCTCCTAAGTGGCTGAGATTACAGGTGCAGGCCACCACACTCAGCTTACCGGGAGCTATTTTTGCTGATAAAGTCCCCAAACACCTTGAAATTACTTTAAACATCAAATGCTGGCTATCTTAAGTTTTTAAAACAACTAAAACTAATAGTCTGTGCTGGACCTCATACTAAGCAGAGTGCAGTAGCACAGGTATGTAAAGGCAGCAACTCAAGGCGGAGGCAGGAAGACCCAAGTTCAAAGCCAATCTCAGTAACTTAGTGAGATCCTGTCTCAAAATAAAATGAAATAAAAGGAGTTGAATGTATAGTTCAGTGGGTAAGCACCTCTAGATTTGATCTCCATTATCATCAAAAAATAAATAAATTTACAAACACTAACCTCAAACATGAGTCCTGAGTACTGCCTAGTGTTCCTACATTTCCCCAGTCTGTTTTTTTGGTGGCGGTGGTACTGGGGATTGAACCCAGGGGCACTCTACCACTGAGCTATATCCCCTGCCCATTTCATTTATTTTGAGACAGGGTCTCACTAAGTTGCCTTGGCTGATCTCAAACTTGAAATCCTCTGACTCAGCCTCCCAAGTCTCTAGGATTACAGGTATATAGACACCAGAGCCCCTGACTCTCCTACTCCATACTTCCTCCTCCCTCAAATTTCCAAATCTCTTGCCCCATCCTCTCTCAGTTAATGACCTTGGTTTCTATTTCCTTTTATCCTGTACTATGGATCAGTGATTCTGAGTAATTTTATTTAAAGGCCTCATTCTGGGTGGGGGATTTTGTAAACCTCTTCTAAATGTTGGAAATGCTCCAGGGTTCAGTCCTAGAACCACTCTCTTAGAGATCTTTCTCCTAGCCTTACAGTCCATTTATAAATCTTTAGTTCTCATTTTTTTCTGAATCTGTTTCACACATATGCTCTACTCTATACTGACATTTCCTATGTTCAAAACTGAAAATGGGAGCCAGGCATGGTGGTGCACAACTGTAATCCCAGTGGCTTAGAAGCTGAGGCAAGAGGATTGGGAGTTAGAAGCCAGCCTTAGCAATGGTAAGACACTAAGCAACTCAGTGAGACCCTATATCTAAATAAAACACACAAATAGGGCTGGGGATGTGACTCAGGGGTTGAGTGCCCCTGAGTTCAATCCCTGGTACCCCCCCCAAAAAAAAAAAACACCTGAAAATGATTTCAGACCTTTGTCCTTCCTTTCCCCCATTACTCTATGGTCTTCCCATTTCACTATGTGGTACTTCTGTAGTTGCTCAGGCCACAAATCTTTGTGTTACCCTTAGTCATTATTTCATATCTGACAGCTCTAGCTTAGAAATAAGTCAGAACCTGGTCATTTCCAACCTCTTCTACTATTACCACCCTGATCCAAGTCACCTTGGCATTTAACCTGGATAAATGCAATGGCCTAAGAACAGCTTTCGTTATTTCTGACTTGCTGCATACAAGCAACAGAGCAATCAGGCCCTTTTAAAACAAAAGATAGGTCAATTTTCTCCTTACTCAAACCCATCTGATGGAAAGCAAAATTATCTCATTCAAACACTGAAGTTCTTGCTGGGAGTGGTGACACAAAACTGTGATTCCAGTGGCTGGGAAGGCAGAGACAAAAGTACTGAAAGTTCAAAATCCACCTCAACAAAAAAATAGACTGGGCATGTGACTCAGTGTTGAAGCACCTCAGAGTTCAAACCCTGGTATCAAAAAAATAAAGAATTTCAGTTCTCAAACACTGACGTTCTTACACAGTCCCTATATAATCTTGCCTCACCTACCTGAGTATCTACTATTCCTTCCCCCTTACTCATTCTTTTCCAGCCAAACCATTTGGTATGCTCCAGCTTCAGGACTCTGTGGTAGCTCTGATGACTTTTCCACATGACATCTCTATCACTTTTAGGTTTTTCCATAAATATCCTTTCTATGGCCACCACTGGGACCTACCCATATCACTAGCTTACCCACTTTCTTTCATTGATTTATCTTTTCTCTAGGACTTCCCACAACCTGACACATACTTTAATTTTGTATCAACATCTTTCCCAAAGTGAATTTCACAATGGCAGGGATTCTTACTGTTTTGTTTACTGTTTCATCCAGAGCCTGGCCTATACCAAGTACTCTTATTTGTGAAATAAATCAAACCCCAACTTGATATGTGTGTACACTGTTCTAAAAGCCCACATCCACCCAGGGCATGGTGGTACACCTGTGATCCCAAATTCAAGGCCAGCCTGGGCAACTTAAGAGATTTGTTTCAAAAAATAAAAAGGACTGGAGACACAGCCCAGTGGCAAAGAGCAAAGACCCTGGGCTCAATCTTCAGTACAGCGAATAACTAAAACCCCGTATCCATACCGTCCCATTTTGCTCTTTTCCCCCGGTTTTAACTAGCATATCTTCAGAGAGCAAAGTATACATCTAAATTCGTTGTAAAATTCTAAAATTCCTCCCAACTGCCACAGTCTAACACCCTTATTTTTAAATCCATAATTCAAACAACAACCCTGCTAGAAACTCTCAAATAATTCAGTACAGATTCACGGACTCAATTTCAAGGCTCGGATTTATCAGGTGAATTCTGGAAGGTCTTGGAAGTTCATCTGTTTTTTTCATAAGTCTCTGGGTTCTGAAGACATGCTATGCTTCCCCACCCCTCAGAAAAATCTAGAACCAATACAGTTTCCGAGGTTCCTCAAGTTCAGGTATGATTTGAAAACAAGTGAAGTATAACTAAAGTATGCCAAAGTACTTTACCAACAGAAAATTGCCTATTACTAAAATTAGGCTTATGGAATGCCAATGAAAAGATAAATTGCCTGCAGGAAATAGCTAGTTCGGACAGAATCCAACTGTCCTGTGAATTATGGTTTATAGTGCTCCACGAAAAATACAGGTCCTGAACAAAACTCTTGAGCCTGCGATTCGAGCCTACGCTTCCTACCTTAGTAAAGAACAGACATAACTCCCGAACAGAGAACGCACAGGCCGGCCTAAGGGTGCCGGGAGCGGAGTCTTGCCAACCCTACCTCTGCCGGGAGGAACACCTTCACCCGCCATCGCCGCCCAGGAGCACTCCTCTCGCCAGACACTCACCCCTTCTTACCTTATCCACCGGCCCCCGCCCCAACCCTCCTCCCCCAGGCATTCCTTCACCATGGGATATACACACATTCCCTACCCGAAGCGCCGGCTTCTCTCCGGCTTGCCGCACCGGTGAGGACGCTGGGCACCGGGCTCTGCGTGCCTGACACACTGTCCTGCAGATACGCGGGAGCAAAGAGTCCTGAGAGCCCGCGCAGCCGCAGAAAGCACGTCGCGGAGGTCGGAGCCGAGCCCAGCTATACTTCCGCCCTCCCGAATCTAGCTAACACAACCGGCAGCGCGGCGGAGCTCTGGAAGCCCACCGCAAGTCCAGTCACCCTCGGCGCCTGGAGATGACGTCACTGAACCCCACGTGGCCCGCACCCCGCCCTCTGGATTCGACCCAACCCGCGAAGAGGCGGGGCTGCTCTTGAGCATGCGCAGACCTAGAGAAGCGCCGTCTTGGGACAGAGTTCACTGGGTTCTCATTGTAGCTGGAGTCTGGCGCTGAAACGTAGTTCTCGTTGTTTGAAGAGGTTAATGTAACAGTTCCATAAAAGCAAAATTTGCCATGCTAAAGCTTGATCACAACATTCCTCTCTTCCTGGCATCACAAAATAGTATAACTCAAACGTACCTTTCAAACTGCTCTTACATCCATTTTTTTGTTTGATTTTCAATTTTGTTAGAACCATGGCAGGCATTAATAGCTGCATTTAACAGAAGACTGCTGTACTGAATCCTCCCACCTCTCCAAGAGTGCATATCTTTATCTTCCTGTTTCTGAAAATAACAAGCAAAATAGTAGGCTTACTCCTAAAAGGCATTTGAACTGGATCCATCCAGAAGCCTTAGGGTTTTTATTTCTGTTAATTATACACGCCATTATGCTACGCATACTAAATAAATAGTGGCTGAGACTCAAAACAGATTCCCTATACTTGGGAAGATAAGGAAAACCTTGGCAGTAGATTTCTTTCTTTCTTTCTTTCTTTCTTTCTTTTTTTTTTTTTTTTTTACTGGGAATTGAACCTGGGAATTTCTCAGGGCCTCCCTAACTTGCTGAGGCTAACCTGGAACTTGTGATCCTCCTGCCTCTGCATCCCCCAACCCCCAAGTTTCTGGAATCACAGATGCTAAGCCTTCAAGCTGGCTGACACAGGATTCTTTAAAAAAAAAAAAAAAAGAAAGAAAGAAAGAAAAAATCATCTTGGAGACCGATGTGTACAATGATTTTCAAATAGTTAATTACTCCATTGGTGGGTCATCAAGTTAGTGGATCATGACTAGCATCCGTTAAAATGAGATAAAATAGGAAATATTAGCCTGTTTCACATATATAAAAGGTAAATATTGTTTCCTTGAAATATTTACCTCAACAGGTATGTGGCATACATTGAGTAGGAATATGAAATATATTTCTTGTATCTCTTTTTTTTCCTCCCTGGTACTGGGGAATGACACCAGTGGTGTTCTACTACTGAGTTATAACTCCAACCCTTTGTATTTTTATTTTAGTCAGGGTTGAAATTGCTCAGGCTGCCTTTGAGTTTGCAGTCCTCCTGCCTCAGCTTCCTGATTAGCTAGAATTGCAGGCATGTGCCTCCACACCCAGCTGAAATGTATTTCTTAGGATGCTAGAAAAGTGTGAAAGCCAGTTCTGTTCCACTTCACCTACTCAAAGTAGAAATTTTCTCTCAAATATCGCATTCAGTCATTAACCTCTGTAACAGAGATCCTGGGATTAAGGAGTATCGCCTTCCAAGTGGCAGACAAATGATATGGGGTTTCCTTTGAAATGTATACAAAAATAAGAGGGATTCAGAGAGGTAGACTAAATATGTGCTTAAGTATAATAAAATGTTATGGTAGGTCAGATGCAGTGGCCCACAACTATAATTCCAGCTATTCAGGAGGCTAGGTGGGAGGACCTGGAGTTGAAACCCAACCTGGGTAACAAAACAGACTGTTGGGGGGGAAAAAAAAACACCTTGCGTGATGGAGCACACCTGTAATCCCAGTTGCTTGGGAGGCTGAGGCAGGAGGATTGTAAATTTGAGGCCACCATGGGCAATTTAGAGAGACCCTGTCTCCAATTAAAAAATTAAAAGGGCCAGGGATGTACTCAGTGATAGAACATCCCTCAGTTCAAACCCACGTATGACATTATAAAACAACAACAATAAGTAATACAGACTTAAGACTGAGAGTGATCCAGGTGTGTGGCCCATATCTATTCCAATGACCAGGGAGGCTGAGGCAGGAGGACTGCAGGTTCAAAGGTAGCCTCAGCAAGTTAGTGAGGCCCTAAGCAACTCAGTGAGACCTTGTCTCAAAATAAAGGGTTGGGAATGTGACTCAGCCCTTAAGCACCCCTGGGTTCAATCCCTAGTACCACAAAAAAAAAAAAAAAAGACTGGGGGTGTAGCTCAAAGGTAGAGCAATTTGCCTAGCATGTGCAAGGCCCTGAATTCAGTCTCTTTCAACTTTGCTGTGTGTTTGAAATTTTTCCTAATTGAATATTGGGAGGGGAACTATATATGGAGAAACCTAATAAGTGAATAAGTGAAGAATGATTACATTGATCTATATAAAGCTACCTGTAACTTTAATTAATTGATCTATTTTCTTCCTTTCTACCTTGGTCCTTCTTTTCCCTTCTCTCATCTACACTCTACAACAGAAACATCTAATCCTGCTTTTAAAAAAAAAAACTTTATTTTATTTATTTATTCTATGTATTCTTTTATGTGGTGCTGAGGATCGAACCCAGTGCCTCACATATGCAAGGCAAGCACTCTACCACTGAGCCACAAGCCCAGCCCCTAATCCTGCTTCCTAAAGACATTTCAGATATGAAATCATTGCTCTTGTGCCCATATCCCACTTAGGGATAAACATCATTGGTTCTTTCTACCATTCTTTATAGGCCCACTTGCCATAACTCTCCTCTGGATGTCATCCAGTTATTAGTGTCCCCATTGAATAGTTGTACTTATTCCCTATCTGTTAATTATGCTTCTTGACCAAAACTTTGGAAATAAGAGAAATTCTTTGGTTGTTCTGTCATTTTCTTTTGTTAATATATGTTTTCTCCCAATCAGTGACAATGCATCTTTATTCTTTTTCTATGAAGATACTTATAAAGAGGTTTTTTTTTTCCCAACAGATAAAATCATCTAGGAAAGTTGAAAGGAATTGAGTTGGCTTGCCATTAGCAGAGGAACTCCAGCATCAACCTAGCAGTTTAAGGTCTCCAGCACAACTATATCCTGTTTCAGTTGGTGCCAGTTTTATGATCTGTGTGTGGGAAGACCTCACTGCTTCTTCCATTTGGCAGCACACTCTGTAGTATATTCCCAGACACAATCATACTTTGTTTCCTCCATCCTTCTGTAAGTCCTATTCAAATGGTGCCTCTCCCCTATTTGAATGAAAACTCCTAGAGAGCAGGGACACAATGCTGTACATCAAAGCCTGAAGACAGAGTTCTACAGGTTGGAACTGAACCACTCCTATGATTGTTTTAATATACTTCAGCCTGTTTAACATACACAATATAATACTATGTATGTTACGCTTCACTTCTAATTACCCAAACTGAGAAATCTATGTTGGCAGAGGCATTCAGGCAGCAATACATCCAAAAGTCTACACTCCAGAAGCAGTTGTTGTAAAGATGCCTGTTATCACCGTCTTCATCCACATCTCATGGTGTGCTATTTAACATAGTAAAATATTAGAGATGGGTATCAATTTTGGGCTTGTTCGAAAGTACAATGAAGGGCTGGAGATGTAGCTCAGTGGTAGAGTTCTTGCCAAGCTCATTTGAGGCCCTGGGTTGAATCCCCATTACTACCAAAAATAAAGTATTGTAAATGTTAGAAATGGATCTCACTTATAAAATTAACAATATTTAAAATAAGTGAATTGACCTAAACATTTTAGAGATTTATGACACCCTTGCATGAACAGATTAGGAATCCTTAAAACCTGCATCTTGATCCCTAAGTTTTCTAATGTCTTATAATTTCATTGAGTTATGGAATTTAGCCTTAGGAACGAAGCTACATCTGCCTAAGTGAACCTTTCTGCAAGGAAATAATGAGTGTACCAAATGGGCAGACAGCTGGAGTTTTATCAGACTTACAGAGCAGTTTGTATGAACTGTGTCTGCATATGAATCAGAATTTGGTATAAAATTGATCTCCATTATCACCTCATATTCAGATGAAGGGAACTAATTAACCTTCACCAACCTCGACTACTTCATTTGCTATGATTATTTATGGAAAAGAACCTGAGAGTATTACATGATCAAAATAACGTTGGTTGGTTAGCAAAAGTGGTAGAGATATTCTCTTTGGCCTTTAAAACATTTTTAACGACACACACCCCTAAAGTAACATTACACACACACACACACACACACACACACACAATGGATTTCTGTCTTATACTGGAATATGGCAACACTGAGCCCACATTCCCACATGGCAAACATGAGCTGTCTTCTTTTAGGCTGACCATGCTCCTCTCACTGTCCCCATGCATGGTCCTATCTAAACACTAGAGGCATTAGAGCTTAACTCTCTATAGCACTTATTATTTCAAAAACACTGCCTACCTCAGTTTTTTTGTGTGTAGCTATCAATGTTGTTGCAAAAAGCCAAAACAACTAGTCTAGCATGTGCTGAACTAAAGAATTTAACACTCGTTTGATTGTGATTATGATTAAAATATGGTTCAAAGCTCTTACTTTTTTTGTGGTATTGTGGATTGAACCTTGGGATGCTCTACCACTGAGCTACATTCCTAGCACTTTTTATTTTTTATTTTGAGACAGGGTCTTCCTAAGTTGCTGAGGCTGGCCTTAAACTTGCAATCCTCCTGCCTCATTCTACCGAGTTATTTGAATTACAGGCATAAGCCACTGATCTAGCCCATTTAAGCATTTCTTGAGCTCTCATTATTACATACTTCATAAAGTGAAAATAGATCTTAAACAAAGGAATTTCCAATTATAAATTCACACACGAATATGTGTGTGTATATTTTTATTGTAAAACACAATTTGAAACAATTTCCTATTACTACTATGTGAATTAATATGTGAACATAATACTATGTGCAATCTATCACTACTATAGTTAACACGTAGATTTCTATTGAAAATATTGTGTTATAATACTCTAACTATATGATTTTAATTACTGATAACTTTACTTACTTCTTTATGTATGGGAGTGAATTACAGGAATATACCAAGTAGTCTTTGAAATATGCATGCAGAGATCCTCCCTTATTCATGATTTCACTTTCCTTGGTTTCAGGTACCCATTGTTAA